TCTATCTATCTATCTATCTATCTATCTATCTATCTATCTATCATCTACCTGTCTGTCTGTCTGTCTGTCTGTCTATATTGGTGCTGGAGAATCACTCGAGCCTAAGGCCCACACGGCCGTCCCTGTGCTGTTAGGGGACCCCAGGGCAGGGTGTTAAAGAGTGCAGACTTGAGCCGGCCGTGGCGTCCAAGTCTGCGACCCCAGCACTCAGGAGCTGATGGCGTCGGCGGCCTGACTTCGCAGTGAGTTGGAGACCAGGTTGTGTTACCCAGTGAAATGGTGTCTACACAGAGGTTCTCGACCTTCCTCTGGCCGCAACCCTTTAACTCAGTTCCTCATGCTGCGTGACCCCAACCACGAGAGTGTTTTACTTCCCCCGTTGTCTTGCCGCTGTTCTGAGTCATGATGGACATACGTGACACTCGGGGTATCTGATACGTGGCCCCTGTGAAAGGGCCGTTTGAGCCAAGAGGGGCGTGACACACGGCTTGAAAACCACCTTCCAAACACGCAAAGGCCTTTGCTTTCAAGCCGTAACACCTGAACCGTTCCTGCTGGGCGTCATCAGGGAAATGCAGACAAACCCTTCAGCCCTCTCACCTGTGTCATCTATATATACCAGTGAGAGGGGGAGAGAGCCCAGGCCAGCTGAGCAGGCCCTGGAGAGGGAGGGAGAGAGCCCAGGCCAGCTGAGCAGGCCCTGGAGAGAGCGAGTGAGCGAGGAGAGCCCGGATCAGGGTTCTGCCACAGTGACAGAGGTGCAAACATGGACAGTGGGCGTGGTGAAAAACAGTGAGATGGAGGCAGGAGGCTCAGTCAAGGCCAACCTGGGCTAAACAGCAAACAAACAAAATGAGAAGAGCTGAAAATCGGCGGGTGCAACCGGGCAGAAGACTTTCCTTAGTGTTCGGGAAGCCTTGGCCTTGAACCCAGCTCCTCATTAAACTGGGTGAGTTGTTTCAAGGTGGACGGGTGAGGGAGTCTACAGTCGTCCGCACAGTGAGCTGGAGGGCAGCCTGGGCTACAGTGAGAGTCTAGAACAAAGAAACAAGGAAGTTCTTCCATTCTTTACCATGGCTTTCGGGTGCAGCCCCTGTCGTGGACTGGCCTCAAGCTCAGGGAGCCGCCTGCCTCTGCCTCCCCAGTGCTGGGAGGTGTGAGCTACCGCCCACCGGCAGCAAATGCCGAACAGAAGGAACGCCCAGCCAGGCACAGTAGCCACAGTTGCAGCTCTCGGGGGGCGGAGCCAGCAAGGCCGACGGTTCAGGGCCGGCTCTGGTGACATGGGGCTCCCCCAGTGCTGCTGTCCTAGGCTTGGACCCAGCCTGGGTGGAAGCTGGCCGAGGCGTGCCTGAGAGGGGAGGCGGAGAAGGCGGCTCCCTGAACTTGCTGGTCTTGCTGGGTTCAGGTTCAGGGAGAGAACCCGCCTACAAAGTGGAGATACTGGGCAGAGGTCAGTGGTAGCGCCCGCCTGTGATCCCAGCACTCAGGAGGCAGAGGCAGGAGGATCGCTGAGTTCGAGGCCAGCCTGCTCCACAGAGTGAGTCCAGGACAGCCAGGGCTGCACAGGGAAACCCTGTCTTGAAAAACAAACCAATACAAAGACAAAACAACAGCAGCAACAACAGCAAACCATGAGGAGCAGTGCCCATCAGAGCGGTCACTGGCTCCGTCAAATGCTGCATGTATTTGAAGAGTCCGAAGCCACACAGCCCCTGCTGGCACCCAGCCAAAGGCTGACGACTTCCTAGCTTGCCCGTGGGCCTCCACACCACGAACCACGAGTTGCAAATTCAATGCGCCCTTCTGCAGCAGAAGGTCAATTACGGAGTGCCTGGAACTTTCCAGTTAGGAGAACGCATTCTCTGGACTCCACTCTGGCCCACTCGGCGATGACTCTTTTCTTCTATTGTGGGTTCCGCTTTCCCCCCTCCCAGAAATTGGTTTTGATGTACCTAAGACTTAAGTGTGTCGATAAATGAATAAATTCTCTAGAATCAAACACCAACCCACCCTCAGAGGCCCACACCCCGGGCACGGATACTCCCACCAAGATCCGCTACACGCCTGTAAAGAGTGATGGGAGCGGAAAACTCGACCAAAGCCACCTGAACCAGTGACCAAGAACACGCAGAGCCATGGGACAAAAAAAGGCATCGTGTGGGTTGAACTGGCAGAGACACGATCGCAGTAACCCAGCAGGGAAGCCACAACCGTGAGGGGAAGGGCGGGTGTGTGACAGCTGAGCTCTGGAAAATGAGGCAGAGATGTTGGGGGCCTGGCTGGGCCTGAACTGCTTCACACACGATATCACCACCAATAAGATTCAGCTAAAAAAAAAGACTCAGCACAGGCTCTGGAGAGACAGCTCAGACAGGGCTCAGATCCTCCCTGCTCACACTTGCAAGTCTCTGAGAATGTAAGAATTATTTGCACTTTTTTTTTTCTTTTTAAAGAAAGAGTCTGGTGTAGCCCAGGCTGGCCTTGAACTCACAATGTACCCTAGGGTGGCCTTGAACTCCCAGACCTACTGATTCCACCACCCAGTGCTGGAGACTCTGGTGTTCACCACTGGGTCTAGTTTGTTTGTTTGTTTGTTTGTTTGTTTGTTTAAATACCCTGTCCTGAATCCCATCGCCCCCTCCTGAGTGAGCTGGAGCATGTTAGATGGGGTTTTGGCTTTCTGTATTGCCTCATCTTCATAATGCGAGTGTGAAAATAAGATAGCACAAACCGTGTAAACAACGCAGAGGGACCTTGTCCTCAGTGCTGGCCTGTGATTCCTGCCGTGCATCAGCCTGAGGAGTTTTGCTGGTCTCCTGGAACTACGTTGACCAGGCCGGCCTCGAACTCACGGAGATCCGCCTGCCTCTGCCTCCAGAGCACTGGGGACAAAGGCCTGAGACTCCAGGGCTGGCATTGCTGCTGGGTTTTTCTAAGGTTTATTTTTATCCGCGCGCGTTCCTGTGCGTGTGAGTGTGCGCGCCTCCGAGTGCCCTGGAGGGGGGTGTCGTGAGCCACAGTGTGTCGGGACTCGCCCTCTGCACCAGTGATGTGCTCCTCACCACCGAGCCGCCCGAGCAGCATTCCCTTCGGTCTTTTTTGGTGGCTTTGGCCACCCCTGGCCCTCACAGGTAGGTTGCTTTTCAGCCTCACCCTTTCATCAAGACACACTCAGTTGAAGTGAGCTGTAATCCTAATGGCCGATGAACAACAGGGTGAACTTCCCGTGGGCAGGGCGGGAGTTTCTCCGAAATCCCGTGTGTCCCAGGCTCGCCCTCTGCCGGGAGGGAGCCGGCCAGCGGCTGACATCCTGCTTTACTGCCTCGGTGAACCTGTGAACCGGGCAGGTGATGTCATCCCTGTGTGCCCCCTGGCTCTGCTGTGTGACCACACGGGCTTCCCGGGGCTGGCGTGGGCCTGAGTGTGCTGGCCGCACAGGAGCGGAGATGGCAATGTTGGCTCTTCTACCTTCTCTTTTCCCCGCAGTCTCCGAGACAACGCATGCATTGCCTGTGCCAGGGTGGGATGAAGCTCAGTGGGCAGGGTGCTTGCCTAGAGTGTGGGCTGGGGTGTGGCTCAGTGGTAGGGCACCTGCCTAGAATCCCCCA